ACCTGGATATTGTATGTAAGCAAGGAATATTTTCAGCATTTCCTTCTCTTTATGGTGAGCTGTAATTGTATTTCAATAAATTAATTACAAAAATAAACTCATTATTTAAAAAAAAAAAATAAAGGTACATCTTTTTTGTATCTAAAGCGATAATGAACCAGTGTTTTTATATAGAATTCTTTTATGGGAGTTGATCTTTATTATATTAAGTGATCAACTAAATGCTTCCTTTTCAAGCAAAAAAGTAAATAAATAATAAAGATAAATTAAATAAAACCTACGACCAAAATAATATTGAATATAAAATTTTAAAAAAAATTAAATAGTTGAATTTAAAAACAAAATAAAAATCATTAGATAAATTATAATAAAAACAACTTATGTATGATATTGCTGAATTGTCCCTAAAGTTTTTTTGAAATATAAATATAGTGAAGTAAATAAATCATTTTTTTTTTTATTACTAATTGATAGAAAGTCGGTTTTATTAAATACATACATATGTATATATATATATTACATGAAATACGTTTATACTTACCATGGTAGAGTAAAGAGAACCTTGGTGAAAAGTGCTTCCTCGTGTAGTTCCAGAGAACAACTGGCACGAAAACACCACTGTCTACTGACGCAAGATTCCCCCTACAGCGGTCGAAAGCATCAGAGCTTTGTTTCTTATTCTTCATCATATACTTGATACAGCATATATTTGAAACAGCATTATACACGTATTAAAATATACATGGCCAATTATATTTCCTCTTGACTGCTTCCGAGGACAGATACAAAGGGCCGGATCTAGAATTTTTCCAGATTGAGCGAACTTAAATTTTGCTGCCCTTTCTACTAATAGGTTTTTCCAACCGTAAACCTACAGAAATGGTATGTTTATTAAATTACTTTTTCCCGACTACTAATGGATTCAGATGTAGGGGTAGACTTTCCATTTAGACTGAGGGTAGGCGATGGATAAAAAAAATGGCGGTAGTTCATAAATGTGTACTAATTCAACATAATTATTGTGAAACAACAGAAATGGTATGTTTATTAAATTACTTTTTCCCGACTACTAATGGATTCAGATGTAGGGGTAGACTTTCCATTTAGACTGAGGGTAGGCGATGGATAAAAAAAATGGCGGTAGTTCATAAATGTGTACTAATTCAACATAATTATTGTGAAACAACAGAAATGGTATGTTTATTAAATTACTTTTTCCCGACTACTAATGGATTCAGATGTAGGGGTAGACTTTCCATTTAGACTGAGGGTAGGCGATGGATAAAAAAAATGGCGGTAGTTCATAAATGTGTACTAATTCAACATAATTATTGTGAAACAACAGAAATGGTATGTTTATTAAATTACTTTTTCCCGACTACTAATGGATTCAGATGTAGGGGTAGACTTTCCATTTAGACTGAGGGTAGGCGATGGATAAAAAAAATGGCGGTAGTTCATAAATGTGTACTAATTCAACATAATTATTGTGAAACAACAGAAATGGTATGTTTATTAAATTACTTTTTCCCGACTACTAATGGATTCAGATGTAGGGGTAGACTTTCCATTTAGACTGAGGGTAGGCGATGGATAAAAAAAATGGCGGTAGTTCATAAATGTGTACTAATTCAACATAATTATTGTGAAACAACAGAAATGGTATGTTTATTAAATTACTTTTTCCCGACTACTAATGGATTCAGATGTAGGGGTAGACTTTCCATTTAGACTGAGGGTAGGCGATGGATAAAAAAAATGGCGGTAGTTCATAAATGTGTACTAATTCAACATAATTATTGTGAAACGGGCAAATATAATATGGATATTTAAAAATAAATTTATGTTTATGTTTAGACAGTTGTAGGATTTTCTATGTGCTTATGAATATAATTGAAAATAACAATAGGATAGTTCTTCCATAAATACTGTTACAAAAGTTGAAATTTGTTTACATTCTTTGGTATTATTTAGATAATCCTTACCTCTATGTGGTTATTTTCTTTACATGTCATGATAATAATCCCAATTACTTTGTATTTTTCTTTCGCTCAGTTAACTTATTGAGGGGCGATAAAGAAAACCCAATAGCTGTGATCGCCTTACACAAAGTTGGAAAATTTTTCCAGAAATTTTCAACACTTTGAAACCTTTGATATCAGCCGTATCAGCCTGGGCGGTGGGCCCAGCTCACTTCAACTTAGGTGCACGCAGAAGAAGAAGAGGACCAGTCCCAGGAAGACCTCCGGATTCGGGAAGCCAGGCCTAATTTGCTGAAGAATGAGGGAGCTAGCTGTGTGCACAGCTTAGAATTTTGTAAACCGATATTATGGCAATAGTGTGCCATTATGCATTAATGCTTAACATCACACTACTGCATACACCCGTGTTGCCCTGGTGGCATGGAAGTGTGGAAAACAAATTTTAAAAAAAAGGTATCAACCATATGTTCATGAACCGCACTATAAATAGATGTAATGAGACCCTATCTGTATGTGACAGACCTCAACCGGGCCGTCTCCGCACTGTGAAAACGGCAAATGCAGTGAGAGCAGTGACTGCTCAAATCAGAAGAAATCCCATTCGAAAACAACAAATCACGTCTCGGGAAATGAGAATCTCTGCCAAATCAATGTCTCGCATAGTAAAAAGTGACCTTAGAATGGATGCATTTCGAAAAATGACAGGACAAAGGCTAACCTCTTCTCTAAAAAAAATTAGAGTGGATAGATGTAAAGTGCTTCTTGGCCATTACACCAATGGTCTTCATCGAAAAATTTTGTTTAGCGATGAGAAAATTTTTACAATTGCAGAAAAATGTAATCTCCAAAATGATCGCGTGTACGAACACAGCTCTACAGAAGCACAGAAAGTCATTGGAAGAGTGGAAAGAGGTCATCACCCTCTCTCAGTGATGGTTTGGTGGGGAGTTTGCTTTGATGGCACCACAAAGCTCCATTTTTGTGAAAAAGGAGTTAAAACATCCGCTAAAAACTATCAGGACGATATTTTGGAACCTGTTATGAAACCTCTGAGTGATACTCTATTTGCTGGAAGTCATAGGGTTTTCCAGTAGGATTCCACTCCAGCTCACAAGGCCAGGTCAACTCAGCAGTGGCTGCAAGAGAACATTCCAGAGTTCATTTCTGTCTCAGATTATCCCTCAGAAAGCCCTGATCTCAACCCACTAGATTATCGGATTTGGTCCGAACTGGAGAGGATGGCATGCCACACAGCACACCCTAAATTGAAAAGCCTCTAACAATCGCTTTCCTCAAGAAGTGCTGCGTGCTGCTATTGATGACTGGTCACGGAGATTAAATGCCTGTGTCAAGGCACAAGGGGGACATTTTGAGTAATTTCTTTTTTGTCTTACTCTCTATAGATATACATTTTATTTTCTAAAAAGTTTTTGAAAAAATTAATTTTTCTGTTGAAAGCTGTATATATTTCCTTGTAACAATATTTATGACAGGACTAGGTATTACAATTCGTATGTACTAAACATGGGAGGAAGGAGGTTAATTAACCGTTTATCTCTCATTAATAAAAGTTAACCGTTTTTTAGAAGGTGTGTTCCGAATTGAATATCATCTTGTAACATTAACTCATTTTAATGAATGTATTCAGGCGAAAACAATAAAAAAGAAGGAACAAATACTTTAAAAATAAATACTCTTTTTAATTTAGCGCACCAAAATTCTATCGCTCGGGACAAGTCATCCGCATCTTCTGGAATTAGATGATTCATTCCGACGTGCGTCCCTTCATTTTACGTAATGTTAGAATCACTTTTTCCAAATATAATTAAACATTATCATAAAGTCCATTAATGCTTAGCCATTCACTTATCAGTCAAGTCTCTAAACCTTTGATTGTTCCTAAACTCATCAATAGAATTCAGCGCGTCACTTTATTCATCGATGGAATTACTGATGGCTCAGCAGTTCCATCGGCTGTTGGGGTCTATGGACCAGCTGGATATAATCTCAATGTTGTCATTTCTCAATTTACTTTAGATATTTATATTCAGTTTACTTTCTATTTATATCTGTTTTCAAATTCATACATCCTGAAAGCAAGAATTTCTTAATCTTTCTTTTTTTATGTCATGTGTTTAGTTAACAAGCAGTATAAAGCTTCCTCCAGAAGCTCTGTTTTATGTTCAGAGGCAACACCGCTTTTAGATCTTCATCTCACTCCACTTTAGATTAGAAAATTCGATGCCTTGGAGTATTTATTTACAACCTACCTTTGTAGTGCATTAGTTTCTTATAAAGATTAATCAATTCTAATCAAACTTTGGACAGCAGTTGAAGTTTGACAGGAATTAGTTTGAGAATATTTTGAATTATTTCTCACTTCCTATCTTCGCACTCACTAGATAATCCGTAAAGCCCACCTTACACGGTCAATATCGCGTATATTGATATATATGCGATATTGACCGTCTGAGGGATATATTTTTGACAATTATATTGATATTTGTACTATGTATACAACGTTCAAGAATATTGCTTCAATATTATTGATTCAATAATATCGACCGTGTAAGGTGGGCTTAAGTTTAGGAAGCAAAATTACAAATAATCGCCTGTTCGTTGCCATGCAACACCGCCTAAAGGTTTTGTTACTTGACAACGACGTTCAATACTATATTCCAAATAAATTCAAATGTAATAAAAGTGAACAATGCAATCATTTAAACACCATACATAAAATTAAACTATTAAAATATGACGCTAACACAACCAATACTATAAGAGAAAAAATAATTATATTATAAAATTACGTATCTATGGTTGTTTATATGGTTTTGTATGCTAACATTAGCAACTTTCTAATATAACTATAAAATATTACTTTGAAGTCGAAAAACTTTTTTGGGAAAGAAAGTTTGTAAATAATCCATATAGTATCGATACCAATATTCACTTTTGAACCAGTGATATCGATCGGTATCGTACGTTCCAAGTTAAAGGTTACTTTCCCTCGTAAATGTCAATATCTTCAAGTTGAAGGTAACTTCGAGCTTTACAATGAGCAAGTTTGGTAAGATTGTAATTTTATTCTTAATAACTTAAAATTCTAAGCTCCTATTTATTAAATCTAAATAATTGCAAGTTAATCAAATATCTAATTTTTTTGTTTATAGTTTTGTCCAACTTAATTTTTTTATTATATGATCTTAGAGCTCTGTTATTTTCTGTTCTGAAAATATTTTATAACATTCGTACAAAATTTATTGTATTTTTTCTCCAACAGGATATTAATTTTATTTTTAGGTGTTGAATATCAAGTTATTATGTAGAAGTGAAGTCAAATAGGATTAGAAGAAAGTTTAAATCTGGGAAGAATTTTTTCATTATAGAAAGAAAATGATATTTTGAATGTCTAATTAATAAAAGTTGACATTTTTTTAATTTAGAATTCCCCCAAAAATCTTGAATTTTTTTTTTATATTAGGTTCTTGGGTTATAACGAAACCACCAAATGCATGTATTATTGGATGTAATACTTAAATATAAAAAAATGTCTGTTGGAGTCTAAAGTGCTACAAATATTAGAGATATATTATGGTTTTGTTTTTTTCTTAAATATTTTATGATTTGAAGTCCTGAGTACAACCAATGATTTTACTTGGGATACCCAGTTCATTTCTTATCTACCCCCACTGAATCGGGATATGTTTCTTAGCTTATTGCAACAGTATTTCAGTAATCTCTCGTAAATTATGTCTTATTGTCAATTTCATTCAATAGTTATATAATTTTCATTAAGATGATAATATTGATTAGGTGGTGTCTTTCAGTGCCAGGAGAGAGGGTGTGGAATTAATGTCAAAGTTAAACACTCCCCCTCATACCAGAATTTAAACTCTTATTGGTAATGCTCTGTTTCAAGTTGGACAACATTTCTATGTTCTTTAGCCAGCAGTAAATGTTTTTTTAATTATCAAAAAGTGATACAATCCTTATTAATTAAAATTGTTAAACTGAATCCAATAAATTGACCAAAAACGCCTCAAATTCCACTGTTGGAATTCATTAAATTATACTTATTGTTACATTGCCGAACACCATGTTTTAGAATTGAAATAATCGCCAATTCCTCCAAAATTTGTAGTTTTCTTATGATCTAATGGTTTTTATACTCAGTGAAACATTAACAACGATATGATTTTCAGTTTGTTTTCTTTACTGTCTTAATGATATTTGAATTGACAAAACAAGTTTTTTTACGTGCATTTTGGAGAAATAAGGTTTTTTTGTTGGAATTATCCGCAATGTAACCTAACTTTGAATATCTGTCTCTTGTTGAGTTTTTTTTACTAGTTTACGTTATTATTATTATTATTTTAGTGTTTATCATTTATTTTGTTATTAGGTTCTACTGCTTCACTACATGAAACTGAAAAAATTGATGTAAGTTAAAAATTTTGATTCGGCAACAAACTACGCCAAAAATAAAATTTAACAATTTATTGAATATATTGTTTTAAGTCAGTTTGACAGCACCTAAAAATATATATATTTTTTTTCCATTTTCAGTTAGAAAGCACTGAGAAGATAATTGAAATGAAATGTGAACTCCTTAAGAAACACTTCCTGGCTGAAAATCAGACTGATAACTTGAAACAGCTCAATGTATGATTTAAAACTGCATCTCTATTGTTTCTTTTATTTTATTTATTTTTATATACTTTATCTAATTATGATTATTAGAACAACTGTCTGATTTCTCTGTTTCAATTCTATATTATCCATTATCATAATAACTTTGGTTTATATTGATTTTCTGATAAATCGAAATATCAATTTTTTAAGATTGTGCAACCATTTTTTAGGAGAAATAGGCATTTTTTTACATATTCATTGTTTTCCGATAACATTGAGAACAATCTCAAATAACTTTCTGACATCAAAAAGTAATTATCTTTATATCTGTTGAAAAAATGTACTACTTGAAACTAAATCTTTCAACATTAGCTAAAGTGAGGAAACTGTCATTTTCCTATTTAGTTAAAACCATTATTGAGGAATTTTACTTGATAGATGCAAATAATTATCCATTTGACGTAATATGGAGCAATATACTATTTGTTACGAGAACTCGGTTCATCTATTTCTTATTTTTAAGATTGTTCTTATCACTTATTGAATAGTTAATAAAATTATCAGTAGCTGTTGTCATTTTTTTTTTTTTTTTAATGCATTATACTATTGCATAGGGTCTTTTTTTAATCAATTAATTTTATAGGAAAAAATAATAAGTTTAAGAGAAGATTTGGAAAGGCATAAGAAGGAAATTTTTGATTCCATTACTTCTCTTCAAGAAATATCAGCTGTCAATCGGAGGTATGAAATTGAAAAAGAAATAGAAAATGTCCTTGAGAATAGTGATCTGTTCACTGCATCAGGTATAATTTATTTATTATTTTTATATTTTTTAAGTTATTAATACAACTTGCCACCTATATTCGTATATGCAATTTTTTTTTCTTTATGCTTCCATTACAACATTTTCCATATTTGTTTTAGGTTCAGATCTCACTAAGTATTTGAAAGATTTAACTCAAGCCGTTGAACAGGAAAAAAATAAAATATCATTCCAAAAAACCTTGCTGGAATCTCAAGGTAATGAGGGAAATTCGTTAATCGCTTATTGCATTTTATAAATTTTTAAATTATTTATTACTCATTTTAAAGCATTTAAACCTTTTAGATCAGCTTAAAGAACTCCTATCCGAGACTGAATTAGAATTAAAATTAAAATTAGAAAATGAAGACAGCGATATAAATATTGTTAAAAAATTGACGACATTTCTTCCTTCATTAGAAGAAAACTTAGAAAAATGCAATGATTCCAATGAAAAGTAAGTATTTTTCTTTAAATAAAATGATCATTATTTAACAATTCAAATTTATTTTTCTCAAGGCATATTAACTTTATATAATCTTTTTTAAAAATGATGCCAGTAATTTGAACAATTTCTAGTCAGAAACTATCAGTACCTTAAATTAATAATAATAATTATTGACCTCAGTTGGTTATACATTTATACATAAGCTTATAAAATAGGATTTTCTGTTATATATTTAGTTTAAATTTAATAGTGATTTTTAATCGATCATGATAAATTGTTTTTATTGTTAATTATTATAGTTAATTGATTTATAAAATAATAACAAAATAGATTAATTTTATAGTCTTAATTTTTTTTTAATTTTATAAAAAACAAAACAAGGAAGATATACTTATGACTACAAATAAAGAGATCATTGAGAGATAGGAAGAACACTTCCAGGTGCTATTAAATAGTGATGCCGGAGAAATCGCCCAAACAGTTGTGATCAACAATAGAGAATCCGTGCCTTCAGAATATGGATGTGAAGAATCAATTCTACCAACACTCAAAGAGCTAGAGGAAGTGGTCTGCAATCTGAAGATAAATAAGGCACCAGGTGCTGACAATATTAAAGCTGTGGGCTTCAATATGATCAGAGAGCTGCACCGTCTCATAGAGCGCATATATCTACATGGTGTGTCTTGGGGGAGGGCCTCCTCAATGAGCTGCCGCCATTCGGCCCGATTTTGTGCTGCCGCTTTCCAGCTTCTGATCCGTAGCAGGCGACGTGCGTCTTCTGCCACTCCATCAACCCATCGAAGCCTTGTCCTACCAGGCCGTCACGTACCATGAAGGGCGGTGTCCACCACTTCTAGGAATTTTTTCCGCTTTCATCCTTGCGACATGACCAGCTGAGCCTCTCCAGTTTTATAAACTTTACAATGTCCATATCTCCGTAAAGGTCATAAAGCTCTCAGTTCCTCCTAATCCTCCATCCATCTCCATCTCTCACTGGGCCAACTATTCGACGTAACATTTTTCTTTCGAAAATCAAAAGATTATTTTCGTCACTTCTTGAGATGGTTCAGGATTGGGAAGCATAGGTAAGAATCGGGCATATAAGAGTCTTGTATATGACCAGTTTAGTGCCCCTGGTAACGGATCTGCTGCGGAGAGTTTTCAATAAGGCAAAATATGCTCTATTTGCTGCCACCAGTCTTTTCCTTATCTCAGCAGAGACATCGTTTATTGGAATTACTAGAGATCCAAAATACGTAAACTCGTTCACCCTTTGGAATGTGTAAGGGCCAACACTCAGTTCCTTGTCGCCATCAGTCCCTGTATGCATGTATTTTGTTTTTTCCTCGTTTATGGCCAATCCCATGGCTGAAGCAGCGTCCATGAGTTTCCTAAAGGTCTTTACCAATGCCGATCGTGTCCTGGCTACGATATCCAGATCATCAGCGTATCTGTAAATATCTGTAAAGTACGGGTGAATATTGTGTAGTCCGTCTGGATTCCTGAATCCCGCACAGCCTTTCCCAGTGCAAGATTGAAGAGGAGACACGCCAGTTCATCACCCTGTCTTAATCCTTTGTTGGAGGGAAATGCTTCAGAGCAGTCAGATTGAATCCGTACCTGACACTTTACATCTTTCATTGTTAACTTCACGAGACGTATCAGTTTGCATGGGATACCCATTTCTCCCAATGCCTCATACAACTTAGATCGTTTGATGCTGTCATATGCACTCTTAAAGTCGACAAACAGGTGGTGTGTAGGAATTTTATATTCATGACTCTGTTCCAAAATTGTCCTAAGGGTAAACACTTGATCAACAGTGAATCTGCCTTTCCGGAAGCCAGCTTGATATTTCCCGTTCCGCAAATGGGTTAAGTCTGCTGAAAAGGATATTCTAGAGAATTTTGTAGGCACAAGACAACAGAGCTATGCCACGGTAGTTTGTGCAATCAAGTTGGTCTCCTTTCTTATGGAGAGGACATATTATAGCATTAGTCCACTGTCGTGGCACTCTTTCCTGATTCCAAATTGTCAGGACTATATCGGACAGTGCTCTATGCAACTCATCTCCCCCATACTTGAACAGCTCGGCTGGCAATTCATCCGGTCCCGGCGCCTTATTGTTTTTCATGCGAAGGATTGCATCCATTACTTCCTCAAAGTCCGGGGGCTCGATATCTCCAAGATTGTTAGGCACATCCTCTCCAGCAATGTCGCATGCCTCTATATCTTCTATAACCGCTTCCTCATTTAATAACAAACGGAAGTGCCTAGCCCACCGATCCAGTATATCCGACTTATTGGCAAGCAGTGTTCCATCTACTTTCTTGCATGTTTGTATCATAGAGCGCATCTGGGAGGAAGAAAGCATGCCAGAAAACTGGAACTGTGGAGTAATTACTCTGGTTTGCAAGAAAAGAGTCATGGCAGAATGTGGATTCTATAGAGGTATCACTCTGCTGAATGTTGCTTATAAGATATTTGCTGCACTACTCTACAACTGACTGGTACCGTACTACGAAAGGGTAGTTGGCCGACGTTTTGGCCCAAAGTTTAGCCCTTCATCGGGGGCTAAGAAAAAAGACAGATAACAATATAGGTAGAAAGTAGCGGAAGCAACTGCTACTTTCTACTCCTCATTATTTTGTATTTCTTTAAGTTTATTCTACCTAAACTTTTTAGACTATATCCTTCACCTACATATTACTTATTTATTTTTATATACTTTTTTTTTTACTGATCGTCCTCACCAAGCTTCTCTTCAATTATTTACTACAGTCGACCTTTAATCCACTATTATTAATTATGTTTATGTCTTACATTTTCAATGTTTCGGGCTCTGCTCTACCCTCAGGAATATTCTATTTTCTAATGTTAATAAATATTGTCCTGTTTGTTATCTATAATTGTTTTATTTTGTCATTTTTCTTATAACATTATAACTTATATTCTATTTAGGAACATTCTGATCTTGCATTGTTACCATAATGTTCCCGAATCATTGAATATGTAAAATATAATGATAAACATGATTAATAAAAGAATTTACTCCAGGATGAAGATAAAAAATTTGTTTACATAACTTTAAAAAACTATATAAAAAATCCTTTCTGTATAGTAAGAATTACCAATTAAATATCGATTTGTTATAGGTGTGCTGAAATCATAGAAAGTCTCCAGCGACTCATTCTGCATCAGAATACTCTGCAAACTATAAAAAATGACAAAACCGAAGGTTAGCTCAATTATGTATAATAACCTGCGGGTGCTGCGATCTGTTAAATGATACTAGTACCATTTGTTATCTAGTCTGTGAATGAATTTATCATTACCATTAGGTGCTTTCAATATTTTAAATGTTCATTTGTTAGTCTTCTGGTACTAATGTAGTTTGCTCATCAAAGACCTATAGTAAAAATCTATGGGTTACTTTATAATGTTATTAGATTATTGGGAATAACATATATACCCTTCATGTTTTAACGTTTTTACTTTTCTAAGGAATATGTATTCCAATTTTTTACTTATGAGATTAACCTTTTCGCTGCTGTGAGTGACGAGCTTTACGTCTACCAGAGTTCTAAGTTAGACGGCGGCTTGACTACTGGCCCTTGCTACATACAACCTTCGTTACTGGCTCTTACTACTACTACTTCCTGTTAACCTTATTTTATTGTTTCGATCCTCCGTTTTGATTCAGGCTGTGGACCGACACTGGCAAACAGTTTAAAACAGAGCCATCTGTGGGCTCTAGTTAGAAGCTTTATTTCACCAGAAAACCGATAGAATGTAGCAAGGTCGATCGAGGCTATACTCGACAGGAGCAGGATGCACTGGCTATAGCCTTCATTAGCAGTTAAAGGGTTAAATGTAATTTACTTTATAATACTTTTTCCCCTTTTGTGTCATGTCGTTATGTCTATCAGGAAGCATCTAACCGGGGTTGCCGCTGCTATATGTTTCTTGCCAGGTTCCTGGCTTGGCGGCTTTATTTTCCTTTCCTTTAACATAAGCGGTCAATGCATTCCAGGTACGACATCCTTGGTTGGCCTCGAGGTCTTCTACCATCAGTGGTATTGTCTATAGTTTTCAGTGGATCTCAGTATTCCTCCATTCTTTTCCACGAGTTGCTGTTCTGATCCAAGTTTCTCTTGTGATCGTGTCGATTATTTTCCTCTCAGATATTCCAATACTTCTTTTTAGAGTACAGGTGAATGTCAAGGTCTCGTAGCCGTCTATCAAAACTGGCTCGATTAGATCCTTAATTTGAAATTTTTCAGGATTTCAAAACTTGTTATATATTACATAGTTTAATTAATATGCTTATCTCATTATGTATCTACATTTCTTATATTTTGTTATTTTTATAAAATAATATGGTTTTTATTAAGTAATTTTTTTTTGTACTATTTGTATATTACGTACAAAAAAAATTGTTTATTTAAATAAATTTCATTTAACTTTACTTGCCTTATATTATTATCTTCTTCTACCCTAAGTTGAATTAGATTCTGACCAACAAACTATTTGTCAGAGATTTCACTTAAATTCCAGAATCTCTATTGTTGGTATCTATTTTGTTCCAATACTGAGTTTATTAATTTAAGAAACTACTATTACTTTAATAGTTTGTGATGTTTTCTCTAAATTATAATGATTTGTATATTGCAACTAATTTTTTATTATTTTATTAATTTTCTCTTTCATATTTATTATGTTATTACAACGTTTATATTACCCATAGAACTTAGAATAGAAGATAACAGGTATATTAGCGTAATTTGAGGATTAAAGTTAAAGATTAAACTTGTATTAGGAAATGCTCAAAGCTAGAAAAAAATTGTTTCCCTTACACACTGTTTTAATAAATGTGACTGCAAATGTTCTCAATATTTTTACATTTGCTTAACTACATATTAAATATACTTAAGAGAAAGTATTGTGATCATGAAAATTTTGAATCTTGATTTTCCACGGCAATACATTGAAGTTTATTATCTTATAGGATGAAAGCAACACCAAGAAAACACCCAATGAAAAATAATCATAGTTTTAAATTTATAAAAGCATAATTAATAGACTCTGTTAAAAATAATAAAAGTTTGAATCATTTAAAGCAATACATATTACTAAAAAAACTTCTGCCAGATAAAATCAGTATAGCTACCTCGCCATATTCAACAATTTTTTCCAACAAAAGCAATTTAAGAAGAATTATAAGAATATGGATGAAGTTAACAAAATATAGGAAATATGAAGGCCTATACATACTTAAAACTTATCAATACTTACATCTTACCCTTCAACCACAATTAGCTCGAAAAGATTTGGAATAAAGACCCTTACTACTTTGATGTTTGAGAGGGAAATCGAAACTACTACTAGTTGGTTGAACTATTATAATGGATTTAACACATTTTTACGATTTTCTCAAAAACCGCTCAAACAATTTTGATTAAACTCAGTATATCAGTGTATTATTGATCACTTTTTAATATAATGTAGGTTTTATTCTGATTGTTATTCTCTAACAGGGCTTAAATGCCTAATTTTCTATATTAGCTTCCTCTAAAGTACCTTTAGTTTTTTTTTATTTTAAATAATTAACCATTTCATATTAATCTTTGATACAAAAAATAACTTAATATAAAATATGAAAGAATTTGATAATTAATTAAAGGAAAAATAAGAGATCATAACTGATGATAGTTGTAATTGAAGAACCAAAGGACTACGAGCTTGCCCAAAATATTACAACGCTTCCATACATAAAACGAGCTTAATATAATGCGGACTTCGACAATATTATGAACATATACATATACGGTTTTTATAAATGCTATTGTAGGATTATTTAATATTTAATTGTATAGAATACAGTGATGTAAAAATTAAAATTTGTCTATATAATGATATTTAAACAAACAAACATACTCTCAATGAAATGTAAATAAATGTAGCTTTTATAATTTTTACTTTCACTTCCTCTTTGTCGGAAAATACTTATTTCTGCTAAGAAGACGGTGGTAAGTGAAAGTCATGTGATGCGTGCACCAGATTTTTTTATTATTGTTTACTTTTACTTTTAACATTTCATTATTTTATTTTTAACACTTATTACTTTACTTACTCTTATTACTGTTATTCTGCACTCTTATTACCCTTACACTTTTCTATTTATTATTTTACTGATGTTATTTTTATTTTGTAATTTTTAGCCCTGATGATGACACACATGTTTGGGTCCAAATGTCGGCTAACCTAATAAATATTATCGTGACTGAAATTCCTGACAATTTTGTTTCATCCTACAAATTATTTCCTTATGTCTTTCAAAAATTTTATACTTAATAAATTTAATCTAAAATCATTTTAGATATAATATGAGACGAAGAACATGAACACTGTAACAATCAACGTAAAGGATTAATTTAAAATTAGAAATTATGTAACATAAATGGATTGTTAATATTATTGATTAATGATGTGTTGCAATTATAAAGATAAATATGGTGTAAGTACGCCAAAAGCTTCTCTAGGTTTAGGTGTAAAATAAAATAATATAAATTATAGAGAGACAGTCATTTCTAAAAATCCTGATCTTTAAAAAAGATATGTTTTAATTCAAAACCTGACACACCTAACATACAAAGTAATTATTTGCTTTATCTACAACACATAACAAACCTCTTAAATTTTAAGAATAGCAAAGTTTCCTACCATATTGAACTTTGTTCCTGCAACATTTTGAAAGTGGAATTAACTGAAAGAGAAGGAATAATCAACTCTATACCAAGCCTCCAGCTTACTAGTTCAGAAAAAGTTTTAATTTTTTTGGTGAGAAAAAAATAATGGTGAGTATTATTAAGAATTTAATAAATAATTCATTAAAATTGTATATTTGTATATTATAGTTTTGCCATTTTTTTCAATGATTATTTTCTCCTCACTTCTCACCCATAGATCTAATTTAAAAATAATCACTTGTAATTTATAAATTTCCTTTATCTTTATTTGGATTATTCGGGTTTCCCTTCTCAGCACCTATAATTATATAAACAATATATCATAGGTTCTATATTAAACCAGACATTTAAATTTCTTTAAAATTAACATTTCATTTAATTAAGAGATTTGAGTTGAGGATTAAAGTCATTGGAAGCAGACCTGGGCAAAAATTATTTTAATTATTATTTGAAAATTCCAAGTATTTAAATTGTTTTCAGAAAAAGTATTTCAAATAAAAAATACTAAATGTATTTTATATTTTGGTGACCACTATAAATAATTGGTTTAAGATAGAACCTATAATGTATTGTTTATATAATTCTAGATGCTGAAGAGGGAGTATCTCCGAAATTTACAAATAAAGATTTTTAAAAATACTAAATTATGAGTGTTCATTTTCTTAAATTAGACTTATGGGCATGAAGTAAGAACATTATTATTATATTCAAAATGTAAAAACAAAAGATCTATACTCCCGTCTTATATTAATTGGAGGTTATTTAGCAAAAGGGAGCCAATCCAAAAAATATGCAAAAATTAGTTAAAGGTGGTTTTTAAGGGAATTAGTGCTTACAATTTTATACAGAAATAAACCACCTATTGAGTCAGGTTAAGGATGTTGCAAAATATAGATTTTTTTTTGTTGCAAAAACCAATATTTTTTCTATTAAAAAAAAAGTGAAATTAAAAATGTCTACAAGGAAAGCCCCCTTCATGGCAAGCTATTAAAAATGTGATAACTTTTACAGACAATACCTGAAAAATATTTGTTTAATTAATTAATTTTCTTTTCTTTTTTAGTTTATAATGAAAATGTAATAAATTATTTTATAGATAAGGTAAGTCCTTATTAATTAATATGTTAAATAATTAAAGTTTTTTTCTTATTATTATTAAGTGTTTTTAATTATAAATGGTGTTAGTAATTCATTTAGTGTTGATTTTCTTCAACCCTTTGTATTTTTTTTTTTTTTTTTTTGTTTAGCTACATTAATATTTTTTTTTTGGTGGAAAACATTATATAAATATTTTATCAATGCTATTACATCTAAAGCTTCAATTCAATGTTAATCCTATTCCACTTCTTTCAAAGATTAAAACATCAAGGCTTAAAACAACCATATTTTTTATTGATATTTGAAAATTATCGATTTTTTCGATACATCTCTGATCTTCATAGATTTGAAATATTGAAACCCGAATTATCGATATATCGTATTATTATTTCGATGTTTTTCTCCATAGAGACTAAAATCCAATTAAGGATAAAACACGTAACATGTTGGACATAACATAATGAACATCATTAAGTTAATCATGCATGTAAATGGCGTAATAAATACAATCAAACCTTATATTATGAATAGTTTCACCTTAAACTAAAAAATATATAAATGTCACAAATATATATTTTTTTTACTTTAAGCAGAGTTTCTAGTAGCATTGAAGATCAGTATTTATACTTGAATTTTGAGTCAAGTAATTTCACTTTCAATTAAAAATGGGCAACGAGTTTTTAAAATTTTGAGAAGAATGCTAATCTTCATTATTCTACGAGCTATCTAATTCCAAGAAAGCTAAAAATATGAATGCTATCTCCTTAATCCCGTCTGAAGAAATTGTATTGCTATCCTCTTCTTCAAAATGGTGGAAGCAATTGTATTTTATACACAAACAAGTTGCGCCATCAAAGTTTTTGAGGAGATCACATTTCGACGGTATGTACATATGTATAATATATTTTTCTATAAAACATGGTTATATTTTAACATTTCGGGGGGGGAGGGCTTCTGCCCGAAAGCCCCCTCCCCCGTAGATCCGCCTCTGCCTCCCTTCAACGATTTTGATGGCGCGTAACTTGCGCCATTTCATTTTCTGGCTGAAAAGAGCTATCTTCTACTAGATTTCCTAAAGACAGCTTTACAAGCATGACTAAAATTGCCCCTTGCAAGAAACATATATTATTTGTTATGATATACAGCTTTTTGTTTGATGATATGTGTATACATAATTATATTGAATATATATATTTTTATTTTTTTTTCTAGGCGTCATCAATGTCATTTCGAGTCCCAGAAGTGGTAAATAGACATTTCTTACATATCTATACGTATTATTAGCTCATATCATGTACATTATGTTAATAAATTTATAGGTCTCTCCAGAACTTCAGGACATTATTGAAATTAAATGCGAATTACTAAAAAAAACTAGAGAAGAAGACCGTCGAAACAAAATTCTGAAGCAACTGAAAGTAGGTAGTATACAAAAAACGAAAACTGTCTTTTTACAATTGCGCATTTATTTTCGTTAAGTTATTTATATACAGGGTGTTTCAGGGTTAAGTGGCCCAGAGGAGCCCACAAGGGAGTTTCGTGGAACAAGTTGCGTCATCACGATTTTTGAGGGGGGCACATTTTGACGTGAATTTGATATTTTGAGGGAAGCACATTTCGACAGAGTTATGAATTTTCGCATTGAAAAGTTTCAAAATTAACCTTAAGCAAGTGTAATTGTTTATGATTTAGGGTACTTTAATTTCTAATGTTTTTAAGAAGAGGAGAGCCATAAAATATCTTGATGGGTGGAGTCGGGGAGGGTTCATGCGCCATCGACCTTGGGGGGGGGGAGCACTCCTGAAATGGCCAAACTGCAAAAATCAACCAGGACCTCAAAACAACAAACAAAAAATCCCTCTGAAGGTATGTCCGCAAACGCTTTGTTTAAGAGATATTCACACCTAAAGATTATGAAATATTTTATTGGCCGTGCAGGACCAGTGGCTTGGTTTGCACGCTCTCCAGACCTGACACCACTGGAGTTTTTTGCTTGGGGTGACATTAAACAAAAAGTCAATGCAAGTCCGGTCAATAACCTTAATTCCTTACGAAGAAGGATAATTGAATCTTGTGAAACAATAACACACATCCAGTTCCATTCTGCCACTGTTGCTGTTGAAGAAAGATGTCGATCCTGTCTTCATGCTCAAGGAAATCACTCTGAACAACATTTAATATGAATGCCAATGTTTACATTAAAGTAATAAAGTAGTTAGAACAAATAAATATGTTTAATTTATTTCATATAACGTAAATAATTCATAACAACGAAAATCTTTAGGTGTTAATATCCCCTAAAGAAAGCGTTTGCGGACAAACCTTCAGAGGAAATTTTGTTCTTGTTTTGAGGTCCTTAGTTCATTTTTACAGTTTGGCCACTTAATCCTGAAACACCCTGTATCTAGGTGGCACAAAAATAATGGACACTTTTAACTTCTCAATAAAATTTTTAACAGGTAAAGAAAACTTCTAAGATAGTTGACTTAATAAAAACATACAGGCGATGTCCTGTAAAAAGGAAGAATCCAACAATTCATTACTTTTCAGCAGAGAATGGCAAATGCTATTCTGAATACGAATTATTTTAAATACTGACCTTTTTTTTTGAGTAACAAAGAATTTAATTACTACTTCAGTTGAAGTCAAACGATTAACTGAAGTAGTGATTCAATTTGAGTAAAATACTTGGTACTCGGTACTCAGAGTAGAATTTGCCAATCTCTGCGTTTTAGGAAAGCATAATTTACAAGACATTTCAAAAAGTGATGTTTTCACCATTATTACAATCTGTCTTAGGGCCAGTGCTCCAACTCAGTAAAGCTTAGATTAAGCGTTATCTAAGATTAAACCAAGTTTTCTATGGTCGACCGATCAAGATTAAACTTGGTTTAATCTTAGATAACGCTTAATCTAAGCTTTACTGAGTTGGAGCAACTGGTCCTTATAGAGTTAATAATTCTATTACAGGAGGAAAAGTCCGCATTACAGAACACACTTGACATTAAAAAGAAGGAATTTAATAATACTAAAAAATTTCTGGAGCAAATTTCTAATCAACGAAAAATCTATGACTTGGAAAAAGAAATCGAACATACTCTTAACAGTCAATGTTTGACCAGCGAAACAGGTATACAAAAAATTTTATAATTGACTTTATTTATCGACTACACTTTTTTTTATGTTTTGTTAGAAACAATCTATAATTGAGTAATTTTTGAAGGTGAAAGTCTGGAACATCATCCCAAGGATTTGATTAATTCTATCAAAACTATGAGAAACAAAATAGATATTTGCAATTTATTAATAAATTCAGGTTAGACATTCTCCCATTTTAATGTATATAAATTTCCATCAAGCTTATTTTGTAAGAGTGGCTTAAATTTCAGATGAGTTGGACGAACTCACCTTAGAAACCATAAAGAAATTAAAGGAATTCCAAGAAAATTTTACGTATGAGATGAATTTGGCAAAGGATTTTAATCTATTTAATGAAAATTTGAGCGAGTCTTATGATTCACAACAGAAGTAAGTTAGCTTACAACATAACAGTTTGATTTGAGAGTTTAAATTTCCGTCATATTTTTAATTTTGTTTAAATTTGAACACCTTTTAAGCTTTTGGGGTGTTTTTTGCATTTCGAAAATATGCTATATTCAGTATGTCTATTGAAACATTTTTATTTATGAGAAGGTTGATTAGAAGATTTTTATAGAGCCAAAAAATTGTAATTATCACGTAATCTACCTTTCACCTGTATGTCTTACAGACAAATGTAAGTCTTACATCCCTCTGTATTTTCCAATATTTTATTATAACGCCGTGGTAGTATAGATTGGAGAGGGGTTGGTTAAATCTGAAAAATAATTACAATTTCCCATTTCCTCCTTGTTGAAATTATAAGGATGTAAAAAAAAAATGTTAGGCTTTGAAGTAAAATAATATTTCTTTAATGAGTGTGCCGACGTTTCAACCCTAACATTTGTGTCATCATCGGGAAATTGATTGGAAGAACTCCGTTCTTGTCCTGCTTTCAAACCAATATGATGACCCATATATTTAGTTCGAAACGTCGGCTATCTCAATAAAGAAATTTTTTACTGCAATTCCTAACATTTTTTTCATCCTTAATATTTATTTCATCCAATATTTCTTTCACCACTCATTGCTTTTATATTGCTTGCATATTAATATGCGACTGATATGTTTTTATATTACTTGTTTTAGATGCGCAAAACTGGTAGGTTTGGTGGAGAGACTTACTACACACGCGCACGCCCTGGCGTCTACCAAAAATAATATCACCAAAGATTGATAGGACTTTATCAATCTTCAGTGATATAATGTTATTATTATTAATTTTATTAAAACTTTTATGAATCGACCTTAGAATAATTATATTTGTTATGTTAAAAATAATATAAAATTTTATTGTTAGTAACTAGTAAAACTATGTTGTTAAAATATTTACTGCTTTGTTTATGTCTTTGTGTCTTATATTATCTAATGAAAGAAAAAAGTTTAAAGTATTAAAACATTTATTTCTCCTGTTATATTCTACCATTCTAACATCAACCATTCTTTTAGTTTGATGGTAATATAAGGTAATTTGAGGAAACGATAATTGTGTTTTGATGGGTAAATGCATAATCTTCTTTCAAATTATTTTTCCAATCCACGAACTACTCTTTACGAAGCATGTATTCTAAACATCGATTTTTCACAAATCGGCTAGGAGAATTATCTAAAGATGAAATATAACGAGTTATAAACAAATAAGTTCCAACATGTTGATTAAGTTACGTATTTCAGTTTGGGCTGTACATTTGTATTGGTATTTATCTACCACGAGGCCTGCTGGTTTTGTTTTGTATGTTTTTGCGGTAAGTGGGACCTTTATTTGTTTTTGTTTTTTCTTGTTTTGTCAACCTGAACATTTCTGGCATATAGGGTTCTCAGAAGCAATGGGATAATGAACATGGAGTTTTCATTTTCCACTGGTATTGATTAACCCCTTTTATGTTTTATTATTTACATATTCCCAAGGGATGTTGATTTTACTGGCTCTCGAAATTTCTCACAGGCCATGTGGGCTGTGCAAAGCTTCATTGCTATGGGGTGGACATCGACCCCCTATGCCCTAGCTGCGGTGTGCCGGAGACAGCTGAGCACATCATAGTCGACTGCACAGCCTTTGAAGGACTAAGGGCTAAGTTACTGAGGGGAAACCGGTCTCTACATTCTCACAGAGAACAAGTTCCTCAGTTAGTCACTGCGGAAAACTACCCATATTACAAAGATTTTGTGTACGGATGGAAAGCCGCGGTGGGACCAGCCCATTTCAATCTAAGAAGAGAAGGATGAGCTACTAGACCATTGGTATGAAAATTATAGCGTATCAATGTAAACATTTTGTTAGGTTTCAATACTGGAACGGTTGTAAGTCTGTAGATCGATACGGGACAAATTGGGCTTTGAAGATTTTAAAGATCCCGTAAACAAAGACACCGATAGTTCCGATGGAACTACGTTCTTAAGCCCAAAAACATGCTATTTTCGAGATAATGCAAGGCAAAGTTTTCGCATCCATACAACCTTACGTTAATTGTAGTACTGTCATGGAATACATGTCTCATTTCGTCGACTTGAAGTCCCTATGATCCAGAGGGAGGAGTTTATATTGTTTATCAAAGTTGTTTTTTTGTCGGTGAGCCATATCATCGTTAATTCTTCATCAAATCCCAAGATTCAGATACTAATTTTGAAGGTTTCCTTCTCCTGAAGGCGAGGAAAATAGTCCAAATATCCCGAAAATTTATGGAAAAAAGTTATGAAAGAAAAGAAACTTTATTTGTGAATAACACAAAACTACACGCTTTTCCCGTGGCTGTGTCCATTATTATATAAAAGATTACTAAATTCCCTAAAAATAAATATTCGAAATCGGACAATTATTAGCGAAATACAACTTCTTGAAATTTGTATACATGATGGTTCCAAACATTATTTTTTATTTAAGTATTTTTCTAACTCCCCTCCCCCCAAGAGTTCATTTAATTAAGTTACATATATAAGTATAACAAATACAAAGAACAAGGTCCTGCCACTGCCCGAGGGCATTTTAAGGATTGGGGATAGCTAACGGGAACAGGTGGCACAAGGCCTTGTAACTTTCATTGAACGGGGAGGCACCGTTCTGCTAGTTATTTATTATTTATGCTATTTACAATAGCATACATTATATACAAATTAATGGGTTTGGACCGCAGAATCCAAACCACATCCGACGAATATGTCCACGAAAAGGAGTTTATCTTGCCGTCTCCCCGGTCTGAGTGGTGGTCTCATTAAATAGTAGGTTTGCACAGGCCTTCAGCCAATCAAAAAATTTGACGTGCCTCCGGCCTATGAACTCAAATACCAAGGGGAGCTGGAGCTCTTTTTAGGGTGGTGCCACGGACAATTCGTATAAGGATAGAGTTCTGGAAGCCCTGTAATCTCATAAGCATGAATTTATACAGGTAGCACAGCAGAGGGGTCCCGTGGAGTAGTGTAGTTCTTATTATAGCTTTATGAATTTGGCGATTGAGTCTCAACGAGAGCTGCGGCGACTTCAATAGGTGGTAGAGCCGGTGTGACTTCTTCCGTGACAGCTTGATCCTCAGCCTAACGGGACTGGAGGAGGTAAAATGTCTATCCAGTGTGACGCCAAGGTAGACTATCGAGGTGGAGATTTCGATCAGCTCCTCCAATGGTGAAGTGTGTGGGTAAAGGCTTCTTTCCCTTGTGGGACGACATGACAACAGCATTAGTCTTCGCAGGGTTCACTCTGATCCCGATAGCTTCTAGTTCTTCAACAATGGAGGCTGATGGAAGCATTCTGAGCCAGAATGGATGCAGTTGATGCTGGAAGCATATATGCCATTGTCGTCCGATCATCCAAGATAGCAACGCCAGAAATATAATCTCTGCGAGAGACAAAAATATATCGTTTTGATGTAATCTACTTTAGTGCTCCATTATCTGTCAAACGTTAATGAAATTTTAAATTAATTTTTGTTTTCTTTGTCGATTACATTTAGCGAGAAAGATTTCTCTATATTATGATAACGTGCATTTTTTTCATTTTCTTATTAATTTATCATTTGATCACTAAAAAATATACTGTGCGAATTTTTCGATGGATATGTGAAGGCTTAAGTTGCCTTTAGACATTTCACAAAGTATGGAAAACACTATTACCAATCTTTATTGATAGCGCATTAGCGCTAAGCCAATCTTTTTTAAAAAAAAATCTTGTTACCGAACCCAGATGAAAAAAAAACACTAGTATAGGGGGAAACTATTTTACTGTTTGTGTTAACCTTAGTTCGTGAAATATCTAAACACACCTTTAAGAATAGACATTTTTGTTATAACTTGCATGATAAACTCCGTGCTTGCAGCTCTGATGAAGGCTAGAAACTTAATGGTTTTTTTCATTGTGACTGCAACCTCTAATCATGTCATCCGATAGTTATCGCATAAGAACCCAGCATAATCCAATAAATATTATAAATATTCCTCCCAATTATAAATCCACGAAGTAACTTTTCGAGTTAAATAACTTTTGAATGTTTGTTCAGCTATGCCTCTAATATCGTTGTAATAATTGAGTATGCGTTCTTGAACTACTAAGGAGGTTTTATTAAATTCAAATTAAAAATGTTTTTTAAAAACTTTTGTCATTATTTTTTTCCTAATTTTAACTAGTGTTGTTTAAAATGTGTGGTATATTTTGTAATATATATCGTGATAACGTTCAGGTTTTATTTTATTTCTATTACTTTTTCTTAATACATAAGTTGGACTTCATCCAAAAAAATTGCTGTCTTTAAAAAAAATATTACATCCTGATAAAACATGATTACTCTTTAAAGGTTTGAAAAATTAACCTGAATTTAATTCTGATTTAGATTTGTTTTATATATAATAATTCACAAAAAAATATGTTGATTCACCTTTATCTTTTTGAGATAATGTGATATTTCTAACCGAAAATAAATGTATGGCCTACTAGTCTGTGGAGGAGGAAAAATTAACAGTTCTATTGTAAAGTAATTTTACTTGGATTTAATTGAAGATAAAATGTATCGGCATGTGCTCACTCATTCAAAAGAATCGGTTGAAAATTTTGATTTGGAAAACATCATTCCAACAAAGTAATGACTCCCTAACAGATGTGCCCAAAGAGATCTAGAATGGTTATTGTGTAATTTACCATCCCATTGGCTCATTTTCAAAAACAATCATAATTAGATAACACTTTAAATTGTCCAATAAAAAGATATTTACGCTAAATGATGCCTAGAGAATATATTAATACTTTAATCAAAAAGTTTCAATTTTTCTCTCAAATAAAAAATAATCTGTACGAAGACAGATTTTAAAGTCCTTAAAGAAATAAATTTTGAATATTTTTTTTTTAACATGTTTTTATGATGACTCAAGAATGTTTTAATATTTTCACCAAATGAGAACTGAAGTAATTGATTAAAAAAATTGCTGAATATTTTGTTACTAGTAAGATAAGATATAAAAAATGTATGAACTATAAAAACTCTACTATGGAAAGCCACAGAGTTGAACAGATTTGTCTTTTTCAGGAATATGATTTTTTAAACAATTAATATTTAAATGTGTGTATCAGGATTATTGAATTGAATAACTTAATTTAATACAATTAAAGGGCATCAGTTTCAAAAACCAGTTGAGAAATACTTTCAATTCCTAAAGTCCATTTTGTAAATTTTGCAGATCTACTAAAAGAAAGTTGTTTTTTATATTATTGATGATCCTATTGAAAAATATTTTGTTGTTATCTTTTGTAGTTTATTCAATGTGCAAGTTCATATAATGTACATATGCATTTATATCTTCTTCTTCTTAATCGTTTCCTCTTTTCTACAACTGAGCGGTGTAAGGAGACTTCTTGTAGAGCCGAATCCACAACTATCGATCCTGAGCCAACTGCGGAGTCCTGTCAATATCCCTTCTGTCAAAGGCCTCCTTGACACAGACCTCCCAGGTCTTTCTGGGCCTTCCCTGAGGTCTTCTTCCCTCAACTTTATTTTCCAATGGTATCCTGGCCATTCGATTCTCTGGCATTCAAGAGACATGACCAAACCATCTCAAACAATTTTCCTCCATCACAGTTTCTGCTGGTCTTACGTTTAGATTTTTCTGTATTTTGGAGTTCCTTATGTGATATCTCTTTGTTTTTCCTTCGACCCTGCGCAGGAATCACATCTCCATGGCCTGAATCTGACTGATGTGTTATGTGGTGAGGGTCCATGACTCGCTGGAGTAGGTCATTATCGGGAGGAAAGTATTTTTGTACACGGTCGTTTTTGTCTCTTTACTCACTTATCTCTTGTTCAAGAATCCTTTCTTGATGGCGTCGAAGCACCTTCCTGCAGACTTCATTCTTTTCTTTATTTCTCCATTGATCCATCCATGTTCATTGATAAGGGCACCAAGGTATTTAAAATTTTTCACTTGTTCCAATGGAACTCCACTCAAGTGCTCTATTCTGTCTCCTCTTCCTTGTTTTCTCCCAATCCTCATCTTATTCAATTTATCTTATTCAATTCTTCCTGAAGAATGCAAAGGTTGAATTGCAGGTTTCATCCATTGCTTCCGAAAACCAGCAAATTGTCTGCATAAGCGAACAGAGAGAAAAATACAGGCTGTAGATTTCTGTATCCCATTTGATATGATCTCATATTTTGTTTTGCTATTTTTATTGCATTTTCTAGCACTAGTGTAAATAGCAGAGGACTTAGTTGCACCCTTGCCTAATACCTTGTTTAGTTGTGAACTCTTCTGATATATTAATTCATGTTCTTACAACATTTCTTTGAGTCTTATAGAGACTTAGAATTGCCTTACAAAGGCCCGTTTTGATTCCTTTGTCTTCTACATTTATATAAAAAAATAAAACCATTAAATATACTTTACTAACTTTTCACATTTTGTAAGGGTCCATTCATGGAGATAACTTTATCTCTCAGTTACAAAATTTGGCTGTCCACATACATTTGAGAATGTCCACTACAAAGTATTCTGAATTCAAAAATTGTATATCGGAAAGAGGTGTCCATTAAGAATGGTTTCAGTGTATTTCTATTTTATTAGTACTATTACATACTAAGTAACATTTGATTTTTAAATTGGATTATCTAATATATTTATTATACTAATTTAGGTTAAATGCTACCATCAGTTGCTGAAGAATAGAGGGCCAGATGCTTTTAATGTTACTGAAATTTCACTTGATGATAATTGGAAAGGTTCTTTCGCCGGTAGCACTCTCTGGACCCAAGGTTTAAATATTAAAAGTCAACCATTAATACATCCGAATGGCTCTATTCTTCTTTGGAATGGTGATAAATACTCAGATCTCAATGTAATTATGTTCTTTCAATTCATGTTATCAAATATTCAATTAAATACAGTAAGATAGATGATTTCTTGAAAATAAGGTTGTTTGCCTAAGATGAATTTTTTCTTCAAAATACTATTTTTTTTATCACAAATGAACAATATGTATTTCTTCTAGAAATGTATTAGACTAAAAAATGAATAAGTTATAAACTTTGCTTAATTGTGCGATGCCATTCTTTCCACCTTATTAGGAAAAAAAATACCTTAAAGCAATATATAAGATAAAATCTGCAAAAATAAATTATTAACCAATTTGGTCATATTTGAAATTTTCCATGATTTTACTTGTTTTTATTTATTGAAAAAATAATTTACTTTTTATTTTTATTTTAGGCATCATCAAATTTTAAAAACAACATTACAGAAAATGATTCAGAAGAAGTGTTATATAATTTAGTAAATGGTAATATCAGTTATTTTGAGCAAATTACTGGCCCCTACGCTTTTATTTTTTATAATTCCGAGAAAAATGAATTATGGTTTGGAAGAGATGTTTTGGGAAGACATAGCTTATTGTGGCATGTATCACAAAAATCCATTATTTTATCTTCTGTTGCGGAACCAAAGTCTTGTAATATTCTAAAAGAAGTACCTAGTTGCGGTATTTTTAAAATTTCGCTTACAACATGTGATATAAGTGATGATTATTTTCTTATCTTCTGTCACTTAATCAATATTTATTTATTATTAATTACAAATTTACATTTATTTAAGGCATCGACTTGTTTCCATGGTCCCACATGATTCCAAAAGAAATTACTTCAGATGTACCATTTTTTGTGAAAGATCTTCTTTATCACAATATTCTTGGAAAAAGTACAGATTATTATTGGACAATAATGAAACCATCTGAAAATGAGTCTGCATTACTTAATTTTGGTAATGTTAAAAAAAATTAATATTTTTAGAAAATTTTAGTTGTGTTGTTGAATAAATAAAAAAACATGATCCATTTATGATCCAATTTGATTTTCTTAACTTCAATATTTAAAATGGCATATTTTTCAAAGGAATTTGAACCTACAACCATATAAAACACGGTTAACTCAAGAACTGAAGTGTGCGTTACAGCAGCAAGAAGATATCTGGGTATGTTAATAAACAAAATTTCCGCATTTGGAGTGAGGAAAATCCTCACGTGATACACGAGACACCATTGCATACCCAAAAGTTACTCTGTGGTATGCATTATGGTCAAGAGGCCTTATTTTTTTAAGAACACTAGTCTCATGATAACCGATTATTTTTGGCATTAAATTTAGGATATTGATGTGGTTTCAGCAAGATGTTGCAACATGGCAATCATTGTAGGAAATGTTAGATGTTTTGCATGAAAAATTCTGAGGTCGCATTATTTCAAATCACGATAACGTCATCTAGCCACTGAGATCTTATGATTTGACACCAATGGATTTCTTTTTATTGGTTTTCTTAAGAGTCCCATCTATATCAACAAACCTATATTAGGTCCCACCTATATTAATGTTGGAGCACCTAAAAACTTATATCTGTCAAGTTATAGCTGAGATAACTTCCGAAACTTGCAAAAAAAGTCATCGAAAATTACCTCGAATGAATCAACTGTTGCAGAATGTCCAGCCTAACATCATTTATCATATTTAATGAGTTATACTAAAAATTCGATTAATAAAAATATTACTAAGATAATATTACATTTTGTGTATATGTGTGTGTGTTTTTTAAAAATAAAGTTAGGAAACTCAAATTGAAACATTATAGTCGCATAACAGCAGCTGAAATGTGGTTCCTATGTAGATCAGTGGGCAAAACTAGGAGGAATAGCATTAGAAATGAAACCTTGGGGAACAGGCAATCAAGGTGGTTTGGACATGTCTGTCGCATGAACGAGGACATGGACCCTATAAAGATATTAGAGGCTCGACCCACAGGGAAGAGACCACAAGGGCGTCTCAGAGTTTCATATCAGGAGTTCATGCAGAGGATCGGAGGCAGAAGAGGCAAACCTTCAACCAAATGAAGCGGTTAAGCAGAGACTGGGATACAGGCTCCTTGACGCTAGAAATGGTATTGTGGGGAAGACAAAGAAGATTAAAAAACACAAATTGGATCATACTTAACTTACAAAAAAATTATATATTTCATTCTGCAATCTATACAAATCTTATATATACAACATAGAATACACAATTTACCTTACATTTAACCATTAATTTATAATAACGAATATTTACTTCACAGCTGAGGGCCCTGAAGTTGTTTTTCCTCAATTCCTTGAAATTCCTTACTACTTGAACACTGTTAACAAATTAAAAGATCTGCTATTCAAGTCTGTAAAGAGAAGAGTCATTACGAAACCAGATTTCTGCAAGGATTGTTTATTGAAAAATATTGATTGTAAACATGCTAAGATCGGAATACTTTTTTCTGGTGGTTTAGATTCAGCTATTATAGCTCTTATAACCGATAACTTTGTGCCTGAGGATGAACCTATTGACCTTTTTAATGTTAGTTTTGCTCGTGACCAGGAACAGAAGTATGATATTGTTCCTGATAGAAAAACGGGAAAAAGAACGTTGCAAGAATTGAGGTTATTGTGTCCTAAAAGATGTTGGAATTTTGTTGAGGTAAGATCTTTAAATTTATCTTCTACATTTGCTCATTATTTGTATTTTACATTTTAAATTTTTATAGATAAATGTAACTCAAGAAGAGCTTAAGGATGAGAGGCATAAACATATTATTAATCTGATTTACCCATTAAGCAGTATACTAGATGACAGTTTGGGATGTGCCATTTGGTTTGCTGCTCGCGGAAAAGGACTGCTGAATGAAAAACTATATACTTCTCCAACTAGGGTATTTACTTTGGGTATAACTTATTATAAATTTATTTTACTTTGCTTACACTTATTTATTTTATTATAAAACTCTCTTCTGATCAAGCAATATATTGTCGGCAAAAGTATAAAACCATGTACATATCATTTCAATTTTTTTTAATTTTAAATATTTTCAATTTAATTTAATTTAAATAATTTCCTATCTAAAACATTTTTAACAATAAAATTAACTTACTTGATATGCCTCAGTATTGAGTAAGTCTTGATTCTTTCAATTTACCTTGTTTAAAATTATACAGGTAGTATTATTGGGAATGGGAGCTGATGAAATGTTTGGAGGATACTCAAGGCATAGAGCTACTTTCAGAAATCATGGATGGAAAGGTGTAACCCGTGATTTGTACAATGATTTACGCCATATTGGCGAAAGGAACTTGGGGCGGGATAATAGAGTTGTAGCTGATCACGGAAGGCAGCCTCGCATGCCTTATCTTGATGAAGAATTTGTTGCTTCTGTGGATTCATTGCCAACTTGGTTTAGGTAACAACTATACGATATTTAAATAATTATATTATATATTACTTGTATTATATTGTATTACGGGAGAGGAGTAGCTTAGTGGTATGGTACTGAGCTTCCAATGTTAAAGGTCCCAGGTTCGAATCCCGGCTCAAGGCAGAAAATTTATTTATTCTGTTTCGTTGGCCGTGAGGCAACCCTGGGTCAGGAGACCTTCCTGGGGCATACCCAATGGGGAAAACCTGACGGTTGAGCGTGATCTCAGTCAAATCACCTCCTTGCACAACCTTTGACCTAGAAACAATGCTTTCCCTAAGTAGTACTGAACCCAAGACCCTTTATGGGTTGTAGTGGTATAGATTTTTTTTTACATTATATTATATTAGTTATATGAAATAGTTAAATAATTTAAGGTGAATATTTTTGTTGGCTTTTTTTTTTTTTTTAATATGAGGTTGGAAAATTCCTATTAAAAGAAGCTATTCATTAACAAATACATAAATAAATCAAGAAATAGAAGATTTTATCTCTCTATTATGTAAAAAAGTTTTTAGTGACTTTCATATTTTATTTTATTTTAGTATTAGGAGAGTTGGAGATAACTGAAGCTCAACTTATTAGGGCGATTATTTTAGAAATTATACATAGTCCGTGATACAGACCCCTTTTTATCGAATTATTAACATCCGCCTGAAACTTCGTAAATGGTTTCATCTCATCGAAACCTACAACTATTTTATTTACAAAAACTCTTGGAATTGGGGCATTTTCAATCTGGAGGGAGGCAAACTTTGTCTATTTAATTAGGTACTAAAAACTCGTAAAAACCCAATTCCTTTCTACATGGACCGTAAGATAATTTGATCACAAAATCGATAAAAAGGGTGGCCTACAAAAATGTTGGGCCATTTGCCATGTATAACCTTGTTATTTTGACAATTGGGGAGTGTAGATCACGCCAAACGGCTCAATATTTTTGAAGGCCACCTTTTTTCTCAATTTTGTGATCAAATTATCTTATGATCCCAATATTAAGGAAATGGGTATTTACGAGTTTTTGGTACCTAATTAAATAGACAAAGTTTGCTCCCCTCCAGATTCAAAACGTCCCAATCCCAAGAGTTTTTGTAAATAAAATAGTTGTAGGTTTCGATGAGATGAAACTATTTACGAAGTTTCAGGCGGATGTTAATAATTCGATAAAAAGGGGTCTGTACCATGCACTAACAGCTGTTCATTTAATTCACTATGGTTTCATTCAGTTTATTTTAAGTTGATAAAAAATAATTCAATCTGAACTATAGAATACATGTAAAGTTATACAATTTGAGCAATGAGTAGTACAATTAAATGAACTGTTGTATAATTTGAAAAATGGACTAGTACGCTGTCAGGCGGACAGAGGGTACCCCTAGTAATTTAGAAATATATAATTTGCCAGAATTTTTATTTACAATACTTAAGTTATATCGCAACATTATTTAGATATTTTATACATTATCTTAGCTTGGCAACTTAATTTAAAATACAGAAACAAAAAATTAATAAAAACAAAACCGTATGAGTCGTATAAACCGTATAAAGTTTTCACAAAAATAAAGAGTAAGAAATTAAACAATTATAGATTACTAGCAATGAGAAATCCATTCATATAATGATAACTTAGTGCAAAAACTGTTTAAATAAAAGTTCGAAAATGCATTAAATAGTTGTGGAGATCTAAGCCAACAAATATACATTTGAATTTTTTATTAAAAAACATAAATTCACAATGGCATCCACTGAAATCATAGAAGATTTGGTTGTGACCCTCATCAATAAAAATATACCAAAGGAAGTTATAGAATTTTACAATTTAGATCCGAAATTTACTATCTTGATTGAAACCTATTGACAAAGAAATAATATATGATGCCATTTTGGAATGTGAATTTATGTTAAGGGAACTTAAATATTTTTTCAAATGAAAAAAAATTGTATCAGGAATAGACTTAAAGAAACTTTTAAAAATAAAACAATACCAAATCATATAAAATAAATAAATAAATACCCACTGCCATTTAAACGGAAGACCTTGAGGCATAATCTTAATTGTGAATAGAAATTAAAATATAAAGGTCAAAATTAAACAACTAAGGAATAAAATTAATTTTAAACTAAATATTTTTCCTCAGAGAGGACAGGGTGATAAAACAAAATGGAACAATATTTCCAGGCTGAAATTTTTGAATTGTCAACACTAGTATAAATTTTATACTATACTTATGAATTAATAGGTATGAAATATCGAATAGCTTGAGCTAGAAAAATGTTGTCATGGAGTGATGTAGCTCAGTTTTCACTATCGTGACGTAGCTGTTTTCACTATCATGAGGTAGCTTTGTCCCCACCACTTTTCATTAACACTAATCATCTTTGCCATTATGTATCAGAAAAATACAGAATTTTTTTCATTTTTATTGTTGTAACCATCACCGATAAATTCATGTTAGTAATAATATTATAGAAGTGAAAACTTCTATAGGCAGATTTGCCCTTTTTTGTGGAGAGTGAATTAGATTGAGCCGTCAGATCTCCGATGTATCATAATTGGGAATGAATCCCTTAAGTCGGCTGGAGTTGACTAATTGAAGTGTTTTTGCATATGGATTAAAATATCTTGAAAACTAAAAATCTGACCTCATTATTAACAAGGGAAATATTCATTGTTTCATCCTCTTTGTAATTGGCTATTATTCGAAATTGTATCTTAACCCGACGCCATGTTAGGCAAGAAAAAAGGAAAAAAAAGAGTGTCGAAAACCAAATGATAACGAGTTTTATTGAAGATATGGATTAAAATATTTCAGAAATTAAAAATCGGACCTGCAAACTGCAAGTAAGGGAATTGTTCAGCATTTCATCCTCTCTGTAATGGGTCATTATTTATAATTTATATTTTATATTATTAAACTCAACTTGTTGATGTTTTCATTTTTATCATGTGATCTAAAGGACATACTTTAGTTTTTTTTGTTTTTTTTAATTCTAAAATTGATTGTATATGATTAAAAATATCTATCTTTGTGGTTACATATTTCTAGATGCTGTCTTGATCCAAAGTTAGCAAGAGGCGTTGGTGATAAATTGCTCCTGAGACTTCTAGCGTGGAATTTAGGTCTGCGATCAGCTGCTTCACTGCCGAAGAAGGCTTTGCAGTTTGGTTCTCATATTGCTAATCCCAGAGATAAAGGGCATGCCACTTCAAAGAATTTAATGACTTGAGAATGTTAATTTTATTTATTTATTTATTTTTAATAAAATACAGCATTCAAGCAGTGCCAGCCTAAGATATTTATTTAGTGCCCTTGGGCAATGACATAATCCCCCAAAAAATTTAATTTATTCCTCAAGCTGTTTTATATTGAGTAACACTTAAATTTCTATTTCATTCAATATGTCTTTAATCCGGTCGCTTTATTAATAGGCTAAAATTAATCAATCATTCTAATTCGCTTCATGATTTTATTTTTATTCTTAACAAGTTGCAGGCGCCCCACTCCAGGCCCTTAGGCCATGCTAACCCCAAAGTCGTCACTGCGTACAAGATTATATAAAGTACAGGATGGTCTTAATATTCGGAACACGTAGATTGCATAGCCTTTTTGGTTTATCAAAGATTAAATTTCAAATAATAGAAACATTGCAGGTAATGAAAATGTATGTATTATCTGTTAAATATAAACATTCTGCAAAAAAAAAATTCTGAAAATGATCATTTAATGTCGATGTACATCGAGCCTCTGATTTTGTTTCTTTGATAGTTTGACTTTGTACCATTCACCCACTGCAAGGAAATATTAAATATTTTTATGAAATATCTATAATTAAAAATAAAATTGGGTATATAGAAGTTTTCCAGGAAAATAATAATTAAAATAAAAAACGTATTCCATACCTGTTTTTGAAATTATCAAGCCAACTTTAATGGAATTAAAATCTGCTTTGTTATCGGTCCTTAAAAAATTATTAGAGAATAACTTTGACATTTCAACTAATCTTTCTCTGGAAATCGGGCACCCTCGAGATCTCTATTGCAAAAACCACATATAAAGAAATTCCTCAACTTATGGATGAATGCCTAGTTTTAATTTTTTCTGTTTAGAGACACCACAATACAATTTTGATACTACCACACAAAGCAATTCCAGTAATATGTACTGGTAAACAGAGCCATTTCCATCCCATCGGAATACCCATAGTTTTGGACTACCAGTATACTTGTTCGGATTACCGAGAGTTTTCGGATTATTGAGACCATGGTGTACTAGTTTACTTAACACCCCAATTCCAAGAATTTTCATTAATAAAATATTTGTATGTTACGATGAGATGAAGCTATTTATGAAGTTTCAGTCGGATATTAATAATTAGATAAAAAGGTGTCTGTACCACGGACGATTACTTTAACAAGTGTAAATGAAACAAAATTTTAAATTATAAATATATACAAAATACAATAACTCTTCTCATGTCGAGCAGAGAAAAGAAAAAAAAAAAAAAAAAAAAATATATATATATATATATATATATATATATATATATATATATATATATGTGTGTGTGTGAGTGTTTTTACACAAAAAACAAAAAGTTAATGACAACAACGAGGATTTAAGCACTGGAATTAACTCAAAAATAACTAACTGTTAGAATGATTCCCTTAAAGAATCATGTGTAGAATTGTTGAAACCAAGCTCGGTCAGCGGTGGGTCTTGCACCAGGTTTCATCGACGTACTTCTAGAAAAAATTATTCCTCTAAGAAATATTGTAGTTAAAATGTTGAGAAGATAAAAGAACTGAAACTCGTGGTCAGTGATGTGCATTGTGCAAATATGGAGTACTGTCAGCGATGTGCACTGGGCAAGGACTGCGCAGCACTGACTGAAGTAAACAATTATTTGCTAGTATAATATATAGTAACAACAAATATGCAACTTCCTTATGCCTTTTAAGACCAAACTCAGTCATCTGTATGTCTTTTTGTTGCATGATAATTAAATTCATTTAATTTAATTAATAATCTTTTAAATTACAAAAAGTAAAATTGTTTTATTTTAATGTTGCTTCAACATATACATGTAACCATATTAAAAAAAAAAAACATGTAAATAATCATCTAACATAGAAGAATATACTTGCATATATGCTTAAGCAGATTTGTATATTGTTAGTTAAATTTCCGTCTAGGAAAATTTAAACTTTGTGTAGTATCCGGGTCCCTTTCAACTCCATATAAAACTCAAGACTCAGATGTTAACGGAGCTGTAACGTGTAGGAAGGCACCGGAATACTACAAGTTTAAATAGTCACCGATACCAATTTCACTAACAATTTACCAATTTGTTTAAGTAATATACAAGTACATTCTTCTTAGGTTGGATTTTTTAAAAATTAATTATTTTTTTATTAAAACATTTTTAGTTTTTCAAATCTTGAAAATTTATATTCTTTACAAACTTACACATGTAATACAACTAAAAGTAAAAGTACTTAAGAGTATAATATAATATTTTTCCAATATTTTGAACCCAAAATAAAAAATCTGGTGCGGTGCACACACCACACAACTTTCACTTACTGCCCTCTTCTTAGTGGAAACAAGTATTTTCAGACAAAGGAGAAGTGAAAGTAAAAATTATAGACGCTATAATTATTTATATTTCATTGTGGATATTTTTATTTGTTTAAATACCTACATACAGACAAATTTTAATTTTTATATCGCTGTATTCAATACAATTAAATATTAAATAATACCTACGATAGCATTTATAAAAACCCCGTCTGTATATGTATATAGTATTGTTGGAGTCCGTATTATATTAAGCTCATGTAATCTTTCGGGTCAGCCCGGCCGCACTTGTATTCCTTTGGTTTTTTCATTACAATTGTCATCTGTTATGATCTCTTATTTCTCCTTTAGTTAATTATCAAATTCTTTCATATTTTACATTCAGCTATTTTTTGTATCAAATATTAATGTGAAATGGATAATTATTTCAAATAAAAAAAACTAAAGGTACTTTAGAGGAAGCTAATATTGAAAATTAGCCATTAGCCCTGTTAGAGAATAGAACCTACACTATATTAAAAACTTCATAATAATACACTGATATACTGAGTTTAATCAAAATCGTTAGAGCTGTTTTTGAGAAAATCGTAAAAATGTGTTAAATCAATTATATAAAGTACCACTTCAGGTATGCCGATTATGACAAAAATTTTTTTGTAAAATCCAAGACTTATAAAAATCTCAAATACGCAATTTCAGTTCCGTACACCCTTTTGTTTTTGAACTAGGCTGTTCACATACATTCAAACACATACACAGACCATTTTGCGGGATTTGGTTATTTGGACTCAGGGGAACACAAAACATATATTTCCATTGAAAACTCAGATTCAAAAATGTTCACGATCACAATACTTACCCTTACTATATATTACATATATAGGTAAATGAAAGTAAAATTGATCCAAACTTCACTCAAAAAAATGCAACATACCTTTAAATGGATAGATTTAACACATTTTATATAATAATTTTTCAGTATTTTGACCCAAAAACTTTTGAAAACACCTACAGAGGATCTGATTGAATAATTTGAGCCATTAAAAATAAAAATCATTCCAGTTTTATTTAGTAAACAAAATCTTTTCTGTATCCATGGATTACTTTAGTCTTGATAAATCATGATATGAGAATAAATGTATTTGAATGCTTCTGAAACAACTGACAATCTACATGGAGAAAATGTGATTAGGAAATAAATAAAAAGATCGACATTATTAATAATTTTATTATGATTTATTTATAATTATATTATACATGATATGTAAGAAGACGTTTATCAGACTAGAACTTAAATGTAATCTTAACTTTGGTAATGTTGTATATTAAATACTGCAATTGTATTAATAAAACATAAAATTCTTTTATCAGTTAAGACAGAAACAATTATACAAATTGAATATGTTTAGGTTACAATTCTTTTATAACCTGAAATAGACTAAATATAAATACCAGCATTAAAAATTAAAATATATGTATATTGTTAACTTTTTAAATCTAATAACAACAAATAAAAAGATTACATTCTGTTAGCTATCTCCATCAATTAATACACAAGCTTTTTCATATACACCAAAAAATATTCCTCCTCCAAGAAATATCCAGACGACTCTTGGTACGAAACCGGCAAAAAACCTAAACATATTAAAAAAAGATATCAATAAAAACTGGTTCATTTTCTAGTGAAAGAAACAGTACATAGAATTGTTGAAGAACAGACTCACTATTTCCTTTTTAACTTGATTTAATTATAATATGTGAATAATTTTTTATTTGAATTCTATTGCCTTGTAATTTCAATATTATGAGAAAAACAAACTTTCAAAACATCAGCTCAGTACTATAATACACAGGGTGTTTCAAAGTTAAATTATCCTAGCTGAAAATATGTATTAAGGATCTCACACACAAGGAAGTTATGTCCATTAATGCTTTATTTAGGAGATATTAGATGGACAAGATAAAATAATTACATAATCTTGTTTCCCTAACTGTTCATAAAATATTGACAATGTAAGTATTAATACTGTCTGGTATTAGCATTGAATAGAGCTATAAATAAAACTTATCAGTTTGTTAGAAGTTTTCATCAATAAACCTTGCATTTATACACTGACAGGCAAAAAATTCCACCCACTTGTTACCCATTAAGGAACCACGTAGGAAAGGTTGGCTCTGGGAAAAATTACAGGCTGCATATCTTTCGTTTCTGCTTCTCTACACCCTTTCACGCCCGTCTGGAGATCGAAGAGCGAATCTTGACTCATCTGTAGAAAGTACAGCACTCCATTCGTCTATAGTCCAATGGCTGTGTTCTCGAGCAAAAGCCAGCCGTGTTACTCTGTGAGTTCTGGTCAACTCTGGTCCTCTTACTGGACGAAAAGCCATTAATCCATATTCATTAAATCTTCTCCGAGCGGTACGTTCAGAAATTTGCACACCTCGAACTTCTTCGAGCTGATGAATCTCTTGAACAACAGTAAGGTGGCGGTTTCGTAAAATTCTCAAAGTCAAAAACCAGTCATCCCGTGGTTCTGTTACCCTAGGCCGTCCAGAACCGGGCCTTCAATTGTAAGAACCAGTTTCCTGAAAACGCCTGACGGCGTCTCCGTAAAGTTTCATATGGAACTCCGATGGCATTAGCTGCATATCTAATGGAGCGTCCATCATCAATAAGTGCCACACCACGCGCAACATCCTCAGCACTAAGAGGCATTTTTAAACTTAATATTGAAAAAATTAAAAGCCGGAGACTAAGAAATGTGCTGCAAGAAACGGCACTGAACTATTGATACTGAATAAACATTTTGATTCCATAGAAAGTAAACATTGGAATCTAGGATCATTTCATTGAATTAAGGGTTATTGTCCTCTATATTAACATTCATATTCTCTAAATTTATTCATTAAAAACAATAGACCAATCCAAAGCAGAAATATTTTTAGATGAAAAGATGAAAAAATCAAGTGAGTGGAATTTTTCGCCTGTCAGTGTATTAATGGTGAATATGTCGACATGGTATCTCATGAGGCTGTATAGGTCTTAAACGGAATGGATATTCTAATTCATCTCTTCATGAACCTCCGAGTGAGGATCAGGTGAATACTCAAGCAGATAGAAGAGGATTCTCTGGGAAAAGAATGGAACCGGTGTTGTGTGACAATGTAGATCCTTATGGCATAGGCATAGGTAACCTACCGTCAGTTCGAGAATAGAAACCCCATGGGTCCTCCCAGACTACTGGATCTCACAGTTCCCCAAGAGGCATGGGGATTTCCGAGCAAAGCTAGTTAAACATCATAAGAACATCAATCCCCTATGCCCAAGTTGTAGTGTATCAGAGACCGCTGAGTATATGCTTGCTTATCTGTATCACCTATCATGCATTGAGGGCCCAAGTTGCTGAAGGTTCTATATAAGCGTGACCTCCCTTATCATCAAGAAGAACTATCCGTAGTGCAAGGCCTTGTATTGTCTCGGCCCATTTCTACTTGAGTAGAAGAGGACGGTGAACTATAGATGCTGAACGAAGATAAGTAAGCTGTGTGCACACCCGAAAAAAAAACCTAATTGTTTTGATTGCAGTAGTGGATAGTTATGAATGCATGTGCAGCTATCCACAACGGCAAACACTTGTATTGCCTAACATGCAGGGTAGAGTTTTAAATAAATAAATAAAATGTTTACATGGTGTTCGTTTACAGTTTTTGCAATGCTAACAGCAATTAGATGGTTATCCTGCATATTACGGAAGAAGTCCACGACAATTGCTAAATCTTAATAATCCTAATTAATGGATTGGCCAAGCATGACCAGTGGCTTTGCCTGCACGCTCTACAGATCTGATCACTGAATATTTTTGAGAAGGAGTTGATCGAGGGGTGCGGTCAAATAAACACTAAATTATACATATAGTATTATTTAATTTTTGCCGACGTTTCGACCCACTTTGCAGTTCTTCATCACGGCTACATAAGATACAAAACATGGTGAAAATAAAATAAATTAATATAAATAAATATAAAATAAGAAGAAGTAGTCTGATAAAGGAATAAAAAGATATCAGAGATATAGTGTGAGATCTCTGATATATCTCTATATGATATATCAGAGATATATCATCTTTTTATTTCTTTATTAGACTACTTCTTCTTATTTTATATTCACTTATATTCATTTATTTTATTTTCAGCATGTTTTGTAGCTTTTGTAGCCCTGATGAAGACCTGCGAAGTGGGTCGAAACGGCAGAAATTAAATAAAACTATTTGTATAATTTAGTATTTATTTGACTCCCCGATCAACTTCTTATCATATTATATCACTGTGAACCATCTCTACATCATACTGAATATTTTTGTTTGCGGTGACTTTAAACAAAAAGTACATACAAGCTCAGTTAATGACCTTAAATCTTTACGAAGAAAGATAACTGAAACAATCAATAATAATAATAATACAGGTCCAGTGCAATTCGGCTACTGCTGCTCTGGAAGAAAGATACTGAATCTGTCTTAAAGCTCGAGGAAATCACTTTGAACAACATTTAATATGAATATTGAAGTTTATATTTCATTTATAAAGTAATTAGAACATGTATTAAATTCTTTATTATAACTAAAGAATAGATTTCCATGTTATTGTACATTTTATTAGCTTGCGTGTAAAACCTTCCAGACCCGAATATCTATCAGTTTCAGGATCTGTATAGTAACATATTTAAATTTTGTATTGCGTATTTTGCAATACTTATACTTTAATGATAAATTAGATGATTTATAGATACAAATGAGTGTGTTAATATTTACCTTTTTATTTTACTATATTTTTCAAATTAAATTCATTAATCAAGATAGAAAAATATGAGGAAAATAAATAATTTTGTGACAAGCGAAAAATCATATTTAATATTATAAAAGGAAGAAGTAAATGCAAGTGAGAAATATTCTTGGAATATAAATTGCCTAAAGTATTGGATAATAAATAGCTGCTTTCCTAGGATAAGTTATTTCGTTAGAAAGACATTGTTATAGTTTTTGTTTTGATTTGAATTTTCACTCATTCATTCAGCCCTTCAGTATTTCTTCATGCTTTGAATTGATTTGTAGAAATTTCGTTATTAAAAATACAAAAAAAAAAATAATAATGTCGAAAGTAAGATCTAGTCTCTCATCTAAAATTAAAATCTGGATATAGAAATACTCAGAGTTGAAATTTGATAAGAAAGTTCTGTACTTTCTTACTATACTGTTAGTTCTGTACTTTGTATTACGGGTGTGATAGGAAACTAGAGATCAGATGCTCATTGTAGAACAGGTAAGGAAAATATATTCCTATCAAAGAATGGAATGTTTTTTTTTTTTTAGAAAGAGCATAATCCACTAAAATATCTTTTTTAGTGATTTAAAAAAATAGCTTCAACACTAATGTTTGAACAATTGAAAATCTCAAATATTACAGCGTATTATTCCTGAAGTTTCTTAAAAATTCTTTAAATTTTAATAAAAAAAGTTTTGGAATGTATAATATTGAAAATTTCAACTCTATTAAAAAAAAAAAAGTTTTCATTATTAATTTTAATAAAAGTTAAATATCTAAAATTGTTCTAGTCTATATAACAAATAAATAGGTACCTATAATTCCTTCCTCCAATGATCTGCATATTACCTCATTCCTTAATTCAAACAAATATATTCGATTAGTCTGTTAATTATTGAGACCTTATTCTGTAGAGAGAAAAATTAATACAAGTTTGATCCAACTGTTTTGTGTTTTATCTTGAAATTTTTTGTTGTTAAATGATAGAAAAGGGTATGTATTAAATTAATTTAGATTTATGTAATCCTTATTATTGTTTAAATTTCTCTTTATTTAAAATTTAGGTTAATCTAATTTATTGTTGAATTAAATTATGTATTGTTATGGTTTGTTGTCTATAAACTAGAATTTCATTTTCAACATTGCATTTTAATTTTTTCATCTCTCATTTAATACAAGATATGATAAGATTTCGATGTGTTAATATTATAAATTAAACAGTAGCTCTACAAATTATAAATAGTAGCTCCACTATTTCCTGCTACCACTAGTGGATCCAGGATTTAATTTTGGGGGAGGGCTTCAGCCCGAAAACTTTTTTTTTTTTTCATAAAAATGATGATAATTACTTTAGAAAGAAAAGAAAGAAATTAACTATCTATATGAAATGGTGTTTAAGTGATTCTTTAAGTCCTTTTAAATGTAAATACACGAACAATAATACTTTAAGAGATAATTTTTTAATATATTTTTCCATAAAACATGGTTATATTTTACCATTTTGGGGGGGGGGGGAGCTTCAGCCCAAAAGCCCCCTCCCCTCCCGTAGATCCGCCCGTGTCTGCTACAATACCTTTGTCTTTCCACACTTCTCAGATTGAACAGGTCTGTTTATCTTTCTTATCTTAGTTTTCTCCTTTTTTTTCCTCCTACCCGTTACTCTAGTTTCCATATGTCCATCTCTATTTTGTATATATTGATACATTTGCTCATTAATCTTTTTTACATTATTTTAACTTTTTATTCTCTTATACGTAGTCAGTATATTTTGATAGATTTTACAATATCTCAATTTTCTATTTATATCAATTATTTCCTTATACAACTTCATATTTATTTTCTCTGTTTTACATTTTATTCTAAGATTTTAACTGCACAAAAATCTGGTATATAGTTATAATTAACATTTCTTACATATTTTGTAACACTATTCAAGCTAGTATTTTTGTTTTTCCTTTGTGTTTTGTGTTTTTTCCTCATTTGTGTTTTTTCTACTTGCATTACAACATAATAAATTGAAATAAAGTTTTGCCATTCCTATAATAGTGCAGTATTTCATATCAGGTTATTGCCAAAAGTCATTAAGTGACATTTCATATACTTAAATTAGTAAACTTTTTTTTTAATTTTCTCTTAGATTAATCAGAAAATTGTGCGCTTGTTGTAACTTTCATTGATATATAAAAGAGTTTGTATCATTTTAGTACAATTAACTTGTGTTTTTTTAAGCAATAAATAAGGTTCAAAATCACAAAAATATTTTAATAAGTTCAGCTCCATAAAAAATGTATTTAGTGACTTTTTGCAATAAATAAATAAATTGCAATTTGTTGTAATTAACTCTGCCCATCCTGTATTTAAATTAAAGATTAATCATAGAATTAATAAAACAAAAACATACCCCATTGTTCCATTTTCTTTGTATATCTGTGTAACTATTGGACCAATTTTGACATTTTTTCGTTTTGGCCCGATCCCACCAACTGACAGCATTATACGTGTTTTAACAACATCCAATGGAGTAGTTGCAGCTCCAGCAATCGCTCCTTGAAATATTAATTAATAAAATCAATAAAATATAAAAAATTGTATTATAAATATAATATTTTATAATACAAATATTTATATATGGCTGTCAGACAGAAAAAAGTGTTGAAAGATTTGAGAGAAAATTCCTTCAAACGATAACAGGAGCTATCTGGGATCATTGTACTAACATATGGAAGAATTGCTTAAAGAAACTGGTCAATCAATATTCTATGATATAAAGGCACGGAGGTTAAGATGGGCGGGGCATGTAGCTCGTAACAATCCATCTGGAAGCCTCTATGTAACAATGAATGCCTCAATTGATGAAAAAGAGCACGTGGAAGGCCAAAAATTAGATAGATAGAATCAAAAAAGATGTAATAGAGCTACGAACAGATAAATGAAAAGAAATAACCCAAGAGAGGCAGAGATGGCTCTGTAATGCCAACAGAAAAAATATATATAAAAATAAAGAAAATCACAAGGTTGCAGTTCATAAATGGCCTAATACTAAAGGAGGGAACGAATACCTAATCAACATGCTACAAAAAATAAGGCGCAGTGTGCATTTTGCATATTTTTATATATAGGAAAGTCAAAGTAAAACAATTTACTAAATTCGAAACAATTAATTTAAAACAATTAATCAATATACCGAAAAATGGCAGGTTTCTAAATGTTAAAGGGAATATACAAATGTTAGAAAAATAATAGCTTGTATACGAAACTAATTTTTTTAAATGTTTGAATTAATAAAATGTAAAATTGGATATTTTGGAAAAATTCTAAGCTTTATCCAAAACATAAACTTTTTTTTATTGTATAATTCTCTACCCACCATTTTTGGAATACAGAAGGGTGAGAGGGGGGGGGGATGTAGTTCTAGAGATACAACCAAACCTATTCTAACCAGTATGGGAAGGTCAAGTTTCATTCCGTAGGATTGCCACAAAATACAATTCATTTCCTCCCATGCCGGATTCGAACCTGTGTCGCTAGGAAGGAGGATACTAAGGGCAGGCAATGCTCCACCAACACACCCAATCATTATGACCTTAAACCAAAACATCAACCAGCAAAACATGTTCAAGAATTAATATTAGTACATACATATATAATATAATAATAATAATATGTTTTCATAATGATGTAGAGACGGTTGACCGTTGATATAATATGAGAAGGAGTTAGTCAGGGGGGCGGTCAGATAAATACTAAATTAAAATATAGTAATTATTTTATTTTAATTTTGCCGACGTTTCGATCCACTTTGCAGGTCGTCTTCAGGGCGTAGGATGAAGCACTGCGGGAGGCAGTTGAAACACTCAACTGTGTGCCTGCAAAGTGGGTCGAAACGTCGGCAAAATTAAAATAAAATAATTACTATATTTTAATTTAGTATTTATCTGAACGCACCCCCGACTAACTCCTTCTCAAATAATATGTTTTATTTATTTTGGGACAAGCCCCATTAAAATAATAGAATTGTGGGCTTAGAACCTCAGAGTTTAATAGAAATAAAATGAAATAAACTTATAGAAATTAAAAAAAAAATAATATATATATATATAAAGTCAACTTCTTACATTGAAGTAAGAATAAAAAAGAGACTTAAAAACAAACTAATAATTTATATACATATTTACAGAAAAAGCTATTAACAATAGTTTGAGAATTGGATATGTAGAAATGATTGAACAGACAGGATTTAAAGGTGGATAGGATATTGGAATCACTGATGTAGGGGAGGAAAGGATGGAATTTCAGAGGGATGAGAATCGAATAATGAAAAATCTCTATCAAATGCCATCATATATTTTTATAGTATATATGATCTGAAGACCTAAGGCGTGTATTGCAGGAATGGACATAGGATTTGAATTAAAGGGAACTCAGAGACAACTAGGTAGAGAAAAGATGCCAGGAAATACTTGAGAGGGTAAGAAGAATAAAGCCACTTTAATTCTTCATAAAAACGGGAAACAAATAGCCCTAGAGCCAGGGCCTAAAAATCGAACTCATCGCTGGGCTGGCGAAGGTTTGATTGTAAATGACGGCTCTAGAACGGCAGACAAGGTTCTTTACACACAGAATAGCATACACTTTCATAGTTTACAATCAAACCTTCGCCTGCGATCAGGTCGATTTTTGGGCCCTGGCTCCAGGGCTATAAGGCGTCTCTTGGAATCCTGAAGATGATGCAAGCAATTTACAAATACAAAGCAATTTACAACCGTTTTAGTTTTGAGATAAACAGACACCACCATATATCGCACAGCAGTAATAAAAGTGAGAGAATGTTAATGAAGAAACCAGAAGCTTATGGGAATCTTCATTTTGGAGAAATAAAAGCTTTAAGCGCGGTCCGCACAAGTTTCTTTGATTACATATTTAAAAAAAATTATCTATGTAAATATTATTATTTCTGTAATTAACGTTTTGATTTTTTTTTTTTACAGGAATTCAAGTAATACTTAATCATTTATATTTTTTTTTCGTCCTAAAATTAAGTAATTGCCGTTATAATTTTTAAAAAAATTACATTAAATCCTGGATTCGCTACTTGATACACAAGGGGACCCTTACAATAGTAAATTTCCTTAGTTTTTGACGAATTTGGGAAAAATCACCGTTCGTTGGCAATACCACTTGACACAGGCGGATCTAAGGTGGAGAGGGGGGGGGGCCTTTCAGGCTGAAGCTCATCTCCTCCCCCCCTCCCAAATTGTAAAATATAACCACATTTTATGAAAAAAATTATATTTAAAAGTATTATTGATGTAGAGATGGTTGACCGTAATATAATATGAGAAGTAGTTGGTCAGGTGGTGCGGTCAAATAAATACTAAACCTTAAAAAATAGCATTTTTAATGGTTATGCCGACGTTTCGTCCCACCTTGCAGTTCTTCATCAGGGCGTGGCATGTGGCACTGTAGGAAGCAGTTGGAAGACTGGCCAGTGGCACATGCCACGCCCTGATGAAGAACTGCAAGGTGGGACGAAACGTCGGCATAACCATTAAAAATACTATTTTTTAAGGTTTAGTATTTATTTGACCGCACCACCTGACCAACTACTTCTCATATTATATTACGGTCAACCATCTCTACATCAATAATACTAAAGTAACTATTAAGTATTAGCGTTAGTAATTTTGTTTTTTTTTTACATGTCTCAACAAATATACATAACTTAACAAGAACATAATATTCCGTGATACAGACCCCTTTTTATCGAATTATTAACATACACCTGAAACTTCGTAAATAGTTTCATCTCATCGTAACCTACAACTATTTTATTTACGAAAACTCTTGGAATTGGGGCGTTTTCAATCTGGAGGTGGAAAACTTTGTCTATTTAATTAGGTACTAAAAACTCGTATATACCCATTTGCTTTATACTTGGATCACAGGATAAGTTTGTCCTGTATAACGTCGTTATTTTGAAAATTAGAGGGTTTAGGTCACGCCAAACGGGTCAATATTTTTTAATGCTGCCTTTTTTCATCGATTTTGTGATCAAATTATGTTATGATCCAAGTAGAAAGCAAATGGGTATTTACGAGTTATTATTACCTAATAAAATAGACAAAGTTTGCGCCGCCCTCCAGATTGAAAACGCCCCAATTCCAAGAGTTTTCGTAAATAAAATCGTTGTAGGTTATGATGAGATGAAACTATTTACGAAGTTATGTTAATAATTCGCTAAAAAGAGGTCTGTACCATGGACTATAAACTTTTCTCACATTTTTCGCAATTCCCGTTTCGATCCTCAAGTTACTAGTCTAATATTCTTTAAATCAGCCGCCATTTTTACAGGTAGCAAGATTCAACTGGCAGACTCTCATTTTTTAAATTATTATTAGTTCCTAGAATCTTCAAGGTGGGAGATAAGACCGCTACAAAGTCCTTCCAGGCATCTTGACCTTTATAGCCCAGCTCCTTGACTCCAGACCAGGTCTGTCCGGTGGTGCGTATTTCCTACTCTTGAGTCCTCTTCCACGTTTCTTTAGGCCGTCCGCGTCTTCGCTAGCCTTGGAGGTTTCTAAACATGTGCACAAGCCATTTCCATTTGCGACGTTTAATGAATTGACCTATCGGGGCTTGGTTAGTTCGCGAACAGAGATCTGCATCAGAAATTGTTTTAGGCCACCATACTCGCAATATATTCCGCGCAGACATTTATTGACGAATGTTTGATCACCTGTTTGGTAACTTTCCAAGTCTCGGAAGCATATAGCAGAACCGACATGACATTTGTTTTGAAGATGCGAAGCTTTCCCGATTTCTTGGAATCTCCACACTGGCTAAAGCTGCGAGAATGCTTTTTAGGATTTTCTTATACGTCTCCCAACATCTTCATCAGTCCATCCATGATGGATCACCATAATCCCAAGATAGCAGAATTTAGTAACTCTTTCTATGATTTGATCTTCTATAATAAGATTTTCTTGACTTCTACTATGCACTCGCATCTCTTTCGTTTTAGTAACATTTATTTTGAGACCGGCACACATTTACTTTGAGCTTCCTCTTGGAGTTCATTTAGCTTCTCATGCATGTCCTTGAAACTTAGGGCGTAATAACATAAGCCATCCGCATTGTTCAGATCTTCGAGTCTTCTTGACAGCTTCCACTGAAGTCCTCTTTCTCTACGAAGAGCTTTCGTTAAAATGATGCCCAGTTCCATCAGGGATAAGATAGAGGAGAGAAAACATCCCTGTCTAACACAGGCGGGTCTACGGGGGGGGGGGGTAGAGCTTTCGGTCTGAAGTCCCCCAAAATGATAAAATATAACCATGTTATGAAAAAAATTGTCTCTAAAAGTATTATTTAGGAGTTTCACTTAGAACTGCTCATAAATAGGCTAAATAGTCGTAAAACTATTTTATTGAAAGCCGACGTTTCGACCCGACTTTGCAGGTCTTCTTCAGGGAGGTGTGTTCAGCTAGGAGTTTCACTTAGAATGAATGGAGTTTCAATGCAGTTCTAAGTGAAACTCCTAGTTGAACAC